TTCTTATTAATTTTTTTTCATTACAATTAATAATTTATTAATTTCAATTATTAATTTAATAGAAGTTATAATATCCATTTTTTTATTTCATTTAATATAAGTTATTTCATTTTGTATTTCATTTTTTTTCTTCAATTTTAATTTTTTTTAAAAATTGTGATTCTATTCTTATTAATTTTTTTTCATTACAATTAATAATTTATTAATTTCAATTATTAATTTAATAGAAGTTATAATATTCATTTTTTTATTTCATTTAATATAAGTTATTTCATTTTGTATTTCATTTTTTTTCTTCAATTTTAATTTTTTTTAAAAATTGTGATTCTATTCTTATTAATTTTTTTTCATTACAATTAATAATTTATTAATTTCAATTATTAATTTAATAGAAGTTATAATATTCATTTTTTTATTTCATTTAATATAAGTTATTTCATTTTGTATTTCATTTTTTTTCTTCAATTTTAATTTTTTTTAAAAATTGTGATTCTATTCTTATTAATTTTTTTTCATTACAATTAATAATTTATTAATTTCAATTTTAATTTTTATTAATTTCATCTTTTTGTATTTCATTTTTTTTATTTTTTTTCCATTACAAACCCTAGCTACCGCCGCCGGTGGCTAGGGTTTCACATCGCAGATCGCGATGGCGACGACGGCGGTCAGATCGTGAAGAGGAAGAGGAGGCGACGATGGTGATCGTGGTTAGGGAGGCGGCGACGGAGCAGATTGTGCCCTAGCCACTACCTTTAGTTCGTGAGAGTGAGAGAGAGAGAGAGAGAGCTCTCCTTTGAGATCGTGACACGACGGTGAGCTCTGGTTTCAAATTGTGACAGTGTGGATCGATTGTGACGGTGAGCTCTGGTTTGAAATCGCGATGCGACAGTGAGCTCTGGTTTGAGATCGCGACGATGAGCTCTGGTTTGAGATCCTCACGTCGTCGATGGCGGTGGTTAGGGTTAGGGTTAGGGTTATCGACGCCGAAAATCGCCTGTGCACACCGGAAATCGCCTGCACATGCTTGAAATTGCCTTCGTCTCTCTTTAGTTCGTGAACAGTGTTGAGATGTGGTGTATATATAATGGCATTTTCATAAATAATGGAGATTATGAGGAGCATTTAAGTCATTTTAGCATGCACCTGCGCGCTAAAGCTATAAACTTAAGCATCTCCAGACCCACTTTCCAAATAAGTTGAAAATTAGCTTCATTTAAGCTATAAGTTGGTAAAATAAGCTAAGCCAAACAGATGTTTTTATCTTAAATTAAGTTAAAAGCTGAAATAAACTGCTTATAATTTCTACCAAACATGGCCATAGTTCATTAGTGTTTCTTTTACAGTTCTTGGATCGATTTTTTATATTCTTAAGATTAATCCTCTCAATTCGGGCCCACAACTCTGAATATTTTGTGTTTTTGTTTTATTAATAGTAATCTTATCCATCTTCTTCTAGTGCTTGGAGATTTCTTTTTTTCAAATTTTTTTTGGGGGTCTCTTTCTATATGGATTTTTGTGTGCATGTTTACTTTTCCAACTTTGGTTGCATTATAGTCAAGTCAAGGTTCTGGCATGCAATAAATAAAAAAATTAAAAAACGAAAGAAAAACTCAATTCATGAGTTTCATGACAAGGAAAATTAAGAAAACAAACAAAAGTGTTAACAAAATCTATAGGACAATAAAGTTGTAATAATCAAGATCTCTATCAATATTAGTCAAATGAATGCATCAACGTTAAGGACTCAATAAGTTTTGGACCCTTTTTTTCAAATATTTTTTCCCTTTCTTTTCCTGATTTAAGACAATTTAATTTTATTTAAGTGTACAACTTGTTTGGCAATAAACAAGCTTTTTAGAAGGAAACCAAAAAAATAATAAAAATTTCAGCTGACAATTTAAATGCAAAAATTAATAGCAACATTCTCTCGATTTTTCAATAATCAAATTTTAAATTTTTTAAAGTTATTATTATTTGATAAGTTATAAACATAAATTACAACTCATAAATGCTCCCCAAAAAAAAATCATAATCACCCCCATAAGCTACAATGGAGCAATTTCGACCTTCAACCTTTGAAATTATGAGAGATTGTAAAATTTAAATTAATGTAACAATTATAGACTGTTAATTTTGAATTTTTAGCTGCATGAAATGGGCAAACTTCAACCTTCTGCCTTTGAAATTAAAGAAAATTTTTAAATTTTAAATTGACACAATAATTAAACGGTGTTGATTTAAAATTTTTAGTGATGTATTGTAATTTTATACATTGAAATAAAATCTCTATTTCAAACATAGAATCGAAACGTTCTAAATCCTAAAAAAAAAAAAAAAAAATTAATTCCATCAAATCTCTCAATTTGCTCAAACTACATTCAATAATTTTCAACGTTGTAAAAATGAATTAAGATCCTCTCCTTGTGCTCTCTCCTTGACTTCTTACTTGTTGAGTTATTAGGTCCATTTGTTAGCTCAATTTCAATGATCCGAACCGTTTACATTTTAAAATTTATTGAGTATATCATACTTGTAAAAAATCAAGTTGATCGGATATCAAAAACTATGTGTTTGGATCATCAAAATATAAAAACTATTTTTTTAAAAAATTTAATAAACAGTTTTCTGAACATATGTTTTCTGAAGTTGTAGTGCCCGAATAAGATTTATCAAAAAAAAATATTCAATTGTCGACACCATGTGACCATTCCACACGCTAATTTTTAATGTTCTTCTCTCATTATATCTTTTAAAACACAACATAGAGTAGTATGTACGCACCAATTTGATTTATGACCTCACTTGATAATGGATATATTGTGTAAGTTTAAAGTGGATAATTTGTAACCTCACGTGATAATCAATGTACCCCCCTTCCCCCAACTTATTCAAATTATTTCAACCTAATATGCTATGAACATAGGGGTAATTTGGGAAACCAACTAAAAGTTAACTTTTAGTTTTTAACTCATTTTAAGTCACATCACTTCTTATATTTTTTATATATAAAAAGACAAAAAATTAAAAAATTAACTTTTAACTAATTTTTCAAATCATTCCATAAATTATACTAAATACTTGATACATATTTTTTGAATAAAAATATATAAATAACTTAAAATAAATTACACTGAACAAGGGGTCTTGCCTCACACCGTGCTTCATGGGGTCTTTCCTCTCAACGTAACCCCCAAGGCAAAAAGATGCCAAAGATGTCTACCAAAGCAATATAATGCTTTTAGGTACGAGTTTAGATTTGTTCATCGGATTCGAATTCTTTCCTAACATATATATTTTTTTACCAATAATATTTTAGAATTATAATTTAAGAGTGTTAATACAACTTTAATAATGTGAAGAATACTTATGTGGAGGTAAGACCCACACTCCTCTCTCTATCTCTCTCTACTGTCTCTCTCTCTTCCACCTCACTGGAGCTTCATTTAGAGATATCAAATTAGAGTCATGTTTCATTACTCTTGTATTTTTTAGTCATTATTTAATAATTGATCTAAAGACTATTTTGAGAAGATGGTTATAATTAGCTTTTTGATTAAAAGCTGCTTAAAAGTTGATTATAATCAGTTTTTTGTGAGAGATGAAAGTGTGTTATAATCTGAGAAGTGGAGGAGAGAGAGAAGTTAACAATTTTTTTCTTTTTTAAATTACATATATTTAACACACATTTTAACTATACTACTAAAATACCTAGTCGCTTCCTAAATTAACAAACACTAACATATAAAATTGAGCCATATTTTTACCACTTTTTATCGATTAACACACTTTATTACATAATTTTAATCATCCCATTTGAGATGTTCTAAACTAGTTGGCCAAATATATTATGGGATGAGAGTGAAATGAGAACCTATATTGTGGCATGTATTTACTCAAAACCCTTCAACTTTAGCCCCCCTTACAGAACTTTAGCCCCCCTTAGAGGACGTCGAGAAATGAAGTATATACAATTTTTATATTTGAGAGGATTAATATAAACGGATTCATAAAGAAGGAAGGTAAAGTGATATTCACTAATAATACAGGGATTTCTAGTACAATAATCCCTTGACCCTAGGATAACTCTGGAGTGTACAAGACATATGGCATACTATTTACTTATGTATTTTTGTGACTTAGGTTACACACTGTTGTGAAAACTTACGACACATTTTATGAGTTAGCTTATGCAAATTTGTGTTAAATTACACAATTTTGTAAAGTGACATATATATTTGTGAAAACTTACGCCAAATTGTGATTTTTTAAAATTTTTGTGAGTTAACTTACGTGAATTAATGTTTAAGTTACATTATTTTATGAGGTAACTTAACATTATTTTATGAGGTAACTTACGTATGTTTGTGAAAACTTAAGCCATGGTGTGATTTCTTAAATTTTTATGAATGAACTTGTGCAAATGTGTTTAAGTTATGCGATCTTGTAATATAACTTGCGTATTTTTATAAAAACTAACATATTTTTATGAGAACTTACACAAATTTACATACACCTTGCACATTCGCTTAACCCTATCATTCTTCAGAATTAACATATAGTACTGCAGTTGTTATATTAGAAGATCGAGGTATGTAATACAGGGATTGTCCCCAATGCTCATATTTTGGGTAAAAGTTGCACCTAGGTAGAGTTCTACTCTTCCCTATTTAATTGAAATAAATTTTCAATTCCTCCCAAAAAAATTTAAAAAATAAAAACATTACTACATCATTCTAGCTTATATTCTGTAAAATAAAAATTAAAAATTAAAAATTAAAAACATAATTTTACCCATGTGAAGAACATTAACCTTGCAGTTTAAAAATAGCTAATTCACTCTCACATACCTTTAGCACATAATTTTAGATTAAATAAAACCGCAACTCGTCCATGCTATCTATAAAAAAAAGATACCAACCCTTTTAATAACATACAATCACTAGTCTCAGGAATGTGAAATTTCTCATTTGCACAACCGCCCTTCTAACAGCAAACGGTAAAATTAAATGCACAGCTTACCTCAATTAATAAACACAAGGCCACCTTTAAGGGCAAGTACATGATACAATGAAAATAGAAGCATTGATCAGAAAAGGCTTCAATCATTCATGCTTCAACCAAAATATCAATATATCAATCTCTACTGTATTCAAAGCAATCCCGCATGCATAGAATTTTCAAGTGACAGAAGCATAACAAAATGAAGATAACCGATTTTGTATTAAAAACTCTGCTCTTATAAATCTCATTCATGGACCCAACACGGGGTTACTCTATCCACCAGAAGTAGGTGTTCAAATTTCAAGTATCCTCGTATAAATGAGGAATGCACAAGAACTGTAAAAGCAGATTCTCCATCGTTACTTGTCCACTCAAGAAAATCCAACAATGGCATTATTCAAAACTGTAGTTATTTCCAAACACAAGCCACAAGACTGACTTACTTCGCCAATACGAAGGGTTGAAGAGAATTCAAGAAAGGCACGAGTATGCCAAAGCCTTTTCCTCAGAGAGCTCTTCCGCTGTCAAGTCCAACTTCTTCCTCGACAACTCGTCAATTGGAAGACCTGGACATGGAAAGGGAAGCAGAAAACTAGTTGAGAAACTATCAAGAAAATCAGAAATTGATGATTCCCAAAATATACAAATGACCAACTAAGGATAAAGCTCAGAAAAGTTGACCCTTCAGAAACTGTTTTCTGAAAAAAATTCAGAAACTACTAGAAAAAAAAAAAAAAAAAAAAAACTATAGATTTAAACACACTATTTTCATATAGTTCTCTTTTTCGGGGGTGGAAACAATTTTTAAAAATTTAAAAATAACTTTTTGGAGTTTATTTTTGTCAAAGTAAGTTTCTAGTTTTTCCAAAAAAAAAAATCAGAAAATATATTTTGAAAACTCAACCAAACATAATTTTAAGGATTTAAAAAATTGATAAATAATTTTAAGGATATAACTCAATTTTTCATCATTTTGTTTTGCATAAATTGAAAGACTAACTAATGAATTGGACTCAAGTGCAGGGACCAAAATATTCAAATTGAAACTATAATGATTAAAATCAAATTTAAATCAAATTATAACGGTGAAAAATGTAAATAACCCAATTTTTTTAAAGTAGTCTGAAGTGTCCTAATAGAAAGTTGATAGTACTTAATGGCTATTCTTATTTATTGGTTATTTTCCCTAAAATTTAAAACGCAGCTACACATAATTAGAGCATGATATTATTTCCAATGTTGTTACTTGGCCTTGTATGCTAAGAAAAAAACTAAGACTCGTATGCACTAAATTAATTATCCTTACCTTGAACAATTGTCCATTCTCCATTGCGGCAAGTAACCAGGGAAAGAGTAAATAAGCCCAGCTGGCACATTGTATGAGCCATCAGAGTATACACCCATAGAAACCCAAGTGCCCTACAATGTTCAGACAAAAGAAAGGATAAGCGAAGGAAAGTCTGCAGTCAATACATCAGTGAATGTGTAATTGATAAAAAGGAACGTGTAGCATAATCTTCACTAGAAATGACAATGGAGAGAAGAACAAGAGCAACCTCCGGAGTTCCAAGGACCCAATCACGTATGTGATCACAAGCAGAGCTAGCAGCAGATAACGCACTAGAGAGCTTTCTAGCCTTGATGATAGCAGCACCACGTTGTTGTACAGTCGTTATGAATTCTCCATTCAACCTAATCAAAGAAGTGCATAATGATTCTTTTAGTGAAAACTATAAAATGTTGAGTAATACCTTCAGCTGATTTACCACAACATAAATACATAACAGTCAAACACTAACATGTACTGATTGTTCATACCATTCATCATTAGCAACAAGCACACGCACAGGCTTCTCTCCAGCTGATGTCTTAACAGTAGCATGGTTAACATCAGGATACTGGGTTGATGAATGATTTCCCCAAATAATGACATTTTTCACATCAGATACTGGAACACTCAATCTCTCTGAGACTTGACCAAGGGCCCTGTTATGGTCCAACCTCGTCAAACAAGTAATGTTTTTCTCAGATATTGATGGTGCAAATTCCTTCAGGATCAATGCATTGGTGTTGGCAGGGTTAGCAACAACCAAAACCTAGTAGAAACAATAGACAAGAGTTAAACCTGACCAATTGTTTACATGAACACACCATATATGTATATTCTTCTTTACGTTACTGATGACTTGGTTATTAATTTACACTTAACCACAAAGTAAGAAGTTTCAAAATTGCGGACAAACTATTCAACTCTTAGAAAGAGAATATAGCTATACAGTTGAACTGTTGAAATTATTTTTCCTCTTTTATTCATGAAAAAACATTTGAAAAATTCCCAGTGGTGTCATACTGACAAAAAGTGTTTCACATGTCCATCAAAATTTCTGCAATTGTTTACGATAAATGTCTCGTGATTATTATTAATTCAATCTTCTCAAAAAATTTGAATCACCTTGCAGTTTGCAGCAGCATACTTCTCCAGAGCGGAAGCTTGAGATTTGTAAATGGCAACATTTTTTGACATCACGTCTTTTCTTTCCATACCTTCTTTCCTAGGGAACCCACCAACCATGACAGCAATATTGACTCCAGTGCATGCCTCAACAACATCAGTTGTAGCAACAACACCTGATACAAATATCATGTTAGATTCACTTTACCATAGGTCAGTGTACCACAAAAATTCCAAACACAAAAAATAATAACAAATTAACTTGATAAATGAAAACAACTAAATATTATGTATCATTGGCTTCATGCAGTATTTCATAAAGAATGATCAGGATTCAGGAGTAGCCTACCTTTAAGGAGAGGAAATGCAGCATCCACCAACTCCATTTTCACTCCATGCAGTGCCTCAGCAGCAGGTGGAATATCAAGCATGTGAAGAATCACAGGCTGGTCCGGACCCAACATAACTCCTCTGGCAATCATGGGAACAAGAGCATATCCAATTTGCCCTGCAACAACCAACAACATTTCCCTCAATACATTGCTTCACAAATGAAGTATAGCAGAATGTCCAGGTTAAAAAAACATAACTCTTTTTGTTGTTGGGATGAGTTAAAAAGTTTGCAGACTCTTATTAACCAAAATCTAAATTGGTAAACATTGAGGGTATAGTGCATGACATAGGTTAATAACAGGCACCCATAAACTTAATAATACCAGATTACAAGTGAAAAATCAATAAAAAAAAATTTAATCATAAAATAACATATTCCACTATTTTATAAATTTTTTGGTTTCTAAGATGATTTTAATTGAAGAAATAGAATAATATTCTAAAACTTTCAGGACACGTTGTAATATCCACAAAGCTGCTGCTTGGCACATCACATAATTACCTGCACATGCATATTTTGAGACCAAACCAGTAAAACCATTCATGTCTTATTAATTAGTACCAACCTCTGTTATTAGAATCGCACAATTTGTGATTGGCATCGTAAAATTCAATACGATTCAATAGGTAGTTGATAAGAACAAGTTGCATGAATCACAAATAGCTATAAATCATGGATGAATTGGTGAATCGTGAATAGATCAATATCAATTCACTTCTGATCAATTGAATTTAATTTTTGACCCTTTTTTTTTTATTGAAAAATAGTTCAAACAACCTTTTTAAGATCTTTAGGGTTATTATTAAATTCCATCCTTTGTCTTTCTCTATCCCTATTTATTTTCAAAGACTCAATTGCAAAGAAAAAAAAAAGTTCTGTCCCTCTAAAGTATTTCAGGCCTACATATTCAACTTTATCAAAGTGTATGCACTTACAAAAGGAGTCTTTTCAAGCATCAAGTGAAATTTTTGAAAAAGTTAGAAAAAAAATTGGGTTATTGTTACTTGGAGATTGAGGGTTTATGTTTATTAACTTTCTTTATTAAGAATGGTTGATAAGAAAATTTAAAAGGAAAGATGTCAGCCATCCTTTGTCTTTCTCTATCCCTATTTACTTTCAAAGACTCAATTGCAAAGAAAAAAAAAAGTTCTGTCCCTCTAAAGTATTTCAGGCCTACATATTCAACTTTATCAAAGTGTATGCACTTACAAAAGGAGTCTTTTCAAGCACCAAGTGAAATTTTTGAAAAAGTTAGAAAAAAAATTGGGTTATTGTTACTTGGAGATTGAGGGTTTATGTTTATTAACTTTCTTTATTAAGAATGGTTGATAAGAAAATTTAAAAGGAAAGATGTCAGGTGGTGATCCTATATAGAACAGTGTATTTTTTATTTTTATTTTCTTATGATGAATATTTAATTATTGTTTCTTTCTAATTCATATATGTACACATATGACATGGATTGTCATAGATATAGCATAATCAACCACATGATCATCCTTCAAAACCACATTTTTATTGGTATAAGTTTAAATTTACATATATATCTAACACAATATTTAATATACTTTTTTTTATGCAAATTAGAAATTATGACAGAATCTTATTATTCAAGATTCGATTCGATTCACGATTTGAGAACTATGGTACCCACAGAAAAAGGGTAACAAAATTTACCAAAGTACCCACTCGTGAAAAACCATGCACAATTGGATCTACTATACTGGTCAATTAAAAAGCATTACTTTACTTGAAATAATTCGTCAAACTAGTCAGACAAGTATTATTCAATCCATCATCAACAACACGTCGATCTATCTAATCATACAAAACCCTATTTCCAACATAATCCAAAAAAAAAAATCAAGGGCAGCCACTAATATTAACAAATCACAAACAGTTATTCACTCTGTGAGTGTTATCAATTGGTTTACATATTTCACTTGAATTGAAACCCTAAATTAGTAGATCCGGAGTTGAATGGTAGAGATCGATGAAAATGAGTGATTAGCAATGACAAACAACGATTAAAATTGAGAGGAAAAAAAAAGAACATATATGAGAGTGATTTAGCAAGGTTGGAGTAGTGAAAACCGTACCTGCAGCACCAGTGACGAGGACGCGAACTGGTTCTTTCGCCATTGTAGAGAGAGAGAAGAAAGAGACTCGGATTTGATCAAATGGGTAAAGAAGAGTAAAGTGAATTTTTTGGTGCTTTATTGGTGGAGGAAGTGACTGCGTTTGTAACGCAACGTCGTCGTGTAATGTAATGTAACGTCTCGATGGTAGAAGTTACGCTTAGGGTTAGGGTTAGCGTTGCGGCTTGGTGGTTTAAGAATAAAACTATAAATTGGGTGGTGAGTTGGCGGATTAATATATTGATAAGTTGCGATTTAAGTGATTTTAAGCTGATTTTTCGGATTTAAAAATATTTTAATTAATTATTAAATATTTACATAATACATAATATGCTTCATATGCATAATTATTAATTTAAAATAAATTTTATATTTTAAATATCTTATATTTATTTTTATTTTGATATTTTATTAAAAATTAAAAAATATATATATATATATTAATTATAGTGAAACAGAATAATTTAATAAATAAATTATCAATTTTAAAATTTAATTTATAATTGATAAATAAAATTGTGCGATACGATTTTAACATATTAGACGTTATTTTATCGTACAAGTGTTCGAAGAGCAGTACTACAGTGCGCATGGTGCGTTGAATTCGTACTCTTTCTTTTTTTAGTGTGATCCGGTGCACGTGACGACGTATGCATTGCAATTTGCAGGGCTCAGTTCACCTGCTAACAGGGGTGGAGCTCGAGTTGGATCGGGCCGGAAAGTTATCCAAACTCATTTTTAAGTTGTTTTAAGGGTGCGTTTGGGAAGTAAAGTCTTGTTTGGCATGATCTAAAAAAGTTAAAAAATTATTATCCTATTTAAATCATATCATTTTATTTAAATTAGATCAATTTTCTGACACATCACTTCGAACTCAATCTATACCCAATTCATATTTCATAAAAAATCAAAAAGTACACTTATTTAGATCATTCCAAATCATCCTTAAACTTTTAATAAAAAAAAGTCATTAAAAAAATTAGAAAGCAAATATATATATATAAATCAAAAGTTCCTCTTCATAATTTTTATTTTATTGTACTTTTTTTAAAATGAAAAAAATCAAAAATACCATTCTCAAACACCTAATTTTCCTTTTTCCTCACATTTTAATGAAAAATATTAAACAAAGTCACTTTCCAAACAAACTCCTAAAGTTTGATTTGAAATTCAAACTTGTCTTCTAAAATTCAACTTAACCATAATAAATTAAGAGACTGGCTTCTCTCTAGTCGTAATTTGGACTAAAGAAAATTGTTTAAGCTTATAAAATTTATTATGAGTCTCGTCTTATGATCAAAACTGTTTATTTTATCAAAACTTGTGTGTATATCATCTATTAAAAAATCAAATCGATCCGATATTCTTAACTTTTTTATTTTATAGAATCTATTTCTAAAAAAATTGACGATCAATATGTTTTAAAAACATACCATCCATTTTTTGGTACAAATTTGATAAAATAAAAGGGTTACGAATATTATATTGACCTAATTTTTTTTTACAGATAATATATACATAAGATCCGATAAAATGAACAATTTGAATTATTAAAACAGGGGCCAAAGAGCTCTCTCCAACCTAGATAAGAACCGAAGAAAAGCCTTACTCATAAATTAAAGAGTTTAGATTTTTTTAAATTGACTATTTCAAATTGAGAGAGTGTTTCGACTTGTTAGGCCCATTTTGAGGCGGACCTTAATGATTCAAATTGTTTATTTTTTAGTGCTCGTTAAGTAAAATGTTCATAAACAAAATTAAAATGATTTTATGTTTGAATCACATTTGTATTAAAAAAAATGAATAACTACTCTTGAAATTATAATTATCGTCTATTTTTTAAAAAATAAATGTATTTCAAACAAATAGTTATTAATATCTAATAAATGAGTCCTAAAAAATAAACAATTTAGGTCGCTGAGATCGATCTTAAAATGAACCCACCAAACTCAAATGCTCTCTTAAATTAGATGGTCAATTTAAGGTAATCCAATCCCTAAATGAAACTTAGATTAGACCCAAATTACATTACTTGAACTGAACCCCAAAACAAAAAATAGATGTTGAGTGGGTAGGATTGAATTCCGCCATTTTTTTTCTTGGCAGATCTGAGCCAAATGCTATTTTGAGAGTCCTCTGCTAATTCACACAGATCCGCAACACTCAATTCAAACTATTAAATCTTCAGCTTTATAATTACAAACCCAAGCCAGTCTAAAGTACACCATGTGTATGCAACACTTACATATAATCCCCTTTCAAGAAAAACCACCAAATAATAAAAAAAATAAAAATTTCACAAATAATTCCATACAGCCTATAGGTTTTTTTTTTTTTACATATCATCACACCAAGGATCCATCCATAATTTTTTTTTTAATGTTAATCCCCAGAATAAATAGAAACAAAAATCACTCTATCTCAAATATTCACACCCTGGTTTCAAGTTTTGTGTTGGAGCAGATGTAAGAGAATATGGGCAAGGATCGGCTCTCTCCAAATTTCTCGTACCCTTTATCTAATGCACTCTCAATCATACAATATGATGAGATTCTCGATACACGAAAATCTCAAAACACAATCATGTGATTGGAAGTGCATTAAAGACTGAAACAAAGATTTTGAATACAAAAGATCCCGTGCCACAGTATCAAAATATGTAACAAATGATTGTAAGCTTTATCTATGCACTTCGAGCCAACATCTCCTGGAAATTAATGATAGATTGCTCCCTTTGAAGATTCATATCCTCCCTGAACTTGGAGATGAATTCCTCAGCCCTCTCATCAATACCCTTCCATGCATCACCAACACCACCACTTGTGCTAGTCTCATTTGCCTTTTTCTCTCTTCTCAAAGTCTTCTCATGATCAATTATCTTGGCACTACTTGTTGAACCCATTTCTTTGGCCTTGCTTGTTCCCTTAGGTTGGTTGGTTTGCTTAGGCCCTTCAAAGAGGTCCTCCACATATATAGCTGCAAAGCTCTTTTGAAGTTGGTGGTGATTGTAGGAGTAGTGATGGTGATGGTCACAGTGAGACTTACATAAGGCGCGAGCACATACTTTCCGGGGAATAAAGCCACGGATGGAGCGGATAGATTTAAGGCGATGGGTTAGTTTCTTGACGGGTTTTGAAATCTTGACATTATGTAATTTTGATTGGAATATTTGGGTGAAACGCTTCCACGCTTTCTTAGCGGGTAGGAGCTCCTTTACTAAGTTGAAACTTGACATCAATTGTTGGTTATTTGAGTACTAATGGCTTTCTTTGGTAGGAAAGATAGAGAGGAAGAGGAAGAGAGTGGTAGTGAGATTTTCTATATGCAGTTTCTTTGCAAAGGCAAATGTTGGTTTTGGAAGGTTTTTATTGAGCAAGCTTGGGCATGGGTTCATTCTTTTCTTGCTCCACTTTGCACCACATGTGTGGTGTAAAATATCCTTACTTTTCAATGAAATTCCTTCAATGCCATTCTTCAATCTTAAGGCTTCTTCCTACTTTCTCAATTCTATGCACAATATATTCACAACAACAATATAACCCTTAAATTATTACATTTGTATCGATTTATCCTCGGAATTATTTTCTTGAACTATTAACATTAGTTTACTTTATCACAAATTGGTAACAAGTTTAATATTTTTTACGAAATATCACACTTGTCAACACACGTGATTAATTGAGAATACTGAGTCATTTTGAGAAGACAGGTAATAAAACAAACATCTAAATACCACAAAGGACAACCAATTGTTTTAGAAATATTCAATAAAATACAATTAACAACAATCATAGCAAACTATTGCATTTGAATACAACCAAATTAAGCAAAACTTGTACAAAAAAATTATGTGCTTATAGATGTGATATTTTGTCAAAAATATTAACTTTGTTTATAGTGTAAGATAAAATGAACTAATATCAATAGTTTAAAGGGTATGTCATTACTTCTTTTTTTGGGGGGGGTCAAATGTCCTTGTATTGTATTTTTATTTCTATGAATGGTTTATATTTATGATTTTGTGAAACTATAGGTTTCAAAAAATACTAAATTCAACATTTTTTGGGAAAGAAAAAAAAAGGCTAGAGATAGACACAAACAATTTTCATTTTCAGAATATGATTTTAGAAAATTTTCTACAAAATTTAAAATTAATTTGGTAAAAAAAAAACATTAATTTTTTTTATATGGTGTAGACACCCCATTTTTGACCGACCTTAAGACTTAAACGTCACCATTTGAGCGCTTGGTGATATTGCATATCGCGCTCGTTCAGAAGTCTCAGAGTCGCGGCCATGAGCCCTGCCTCGGGACTTCCGAACCCTCTCCTGTGCCTTGTCTCGGTTTGCGAACCAGACTCGGTTTTCTTTGTTTCTTTTCCTGAGGGAAGGGAGAGGTCCCGCAGACCATCTCTCAATGTTTTTACATATCATCACACCAAGGATCCATCCATAATTTTTTTTTTAATGTTAATCCCCAGAATAAATAGAAACAAAAATCACTCTATCTTAAATATTCACACCCTGGTTTCAAGTTTTGTGTTGGAGCAGATGTAAGAGAATATGGGCACCAAGGATCGGCTCTCTCCAAATTTCTCCTACCCTTTATCTAATGCACTCTCAATCATACAATATGATGAGATTCTCGATACACGAAAATCTCAAAACACAATCATGTGATTGGAAGTGCATTAAAGACTGAAACAAAGATTTTGAATACAAAAGATCCCGTGCCACAGTATCAAAATATGTAACAAATGATTGTAAGCTTTATCTATGCACTTCGAGCCAACATCTCCTGGAAATTAATGATAGATTGCTCCCTTTGAAGATTCATATCCTCCCTGAACTTGGAGATGAATTCCTCAGCCCTCTCATCAATACCCTTCCATGCATCACCAACACCACCACTTGTGCTAGTCTCATTTGCCTTTTTCTCTCTTCTCAAAGTCTTCTCATGATCAATTATCTTGGCACTGCTTGTTGAACCCATTTCTCTGGCCTTGCTTGTTCCCTTAGGTTGGTTGGTTTGCTTAGGCCCTTCAAAGAGGTCCTCCACATATACAGCTGCAAAGCTCTTTTGAAGTTGGTGGTGATTGTAGTAGTAGTGATGGTGATGGTCATAGTGAGACTTACATAAGGCGCGAGCACGTACTTTCCGGGGAATAAGGCCACGGATGGAGCGGATAGATTTAAGGCGATGGGTTAGTTTCTTGACGGGTTTTGAAATCTTGACATTATGTAATTTTGATTGGAATATTTGGGTGAAACGCTTCCACGCTTTCTTAGCGGGTAGGAGCTCCTTTACTAAGTTGAAACTTGACATCAATTGTTGGTTATTTGAGTACTAATGACTTTCTTTGGTAGGAAAGATAGAGAGGAAGAGGAAGAGAGTGGTAGTGAGATTTTCTATATGCAGTTTCTTTGCAAAGGCAAATGTTGGTTTTGGAAGGTTTTTATTGAGCAAGCTTGGGCATGGGTTCATTCTTTTCTTGCTCTACTTTGCACGTGTGGTGTAAAATATCCTTACTTTTCAATGAAATTCCTTCAATGCCATTCTTCAATCTTAAGGCTTCTTCCTACTTTCTCAATTCTATGCACAATATATTCACAACAACAATATAACCCTTAAATTATGGTTATTTGAGTACTAATGGCTTTCTTTGGTAGGAAAGATAGAGAGGAAGAGGAAGAGAGTGGTAGTGAGATTTTCTATATGCAGTTTCTTTGCAAAGGCAAATGTTGGTTTTGGAAGGTTTTTATTGAGCAAGCTTGGGCATGGGTTCATTCTTTTCTTGCTCCACTTTGCACCACATGTGTGGTGTAAAATATCCTTACTTTTCAATGAAATTCCTTCAATGCCATTCTTCAATCATAAGGCTTCTTCCTACTTTCTCAATTCTATGCACAATATATTCACAACAACAATATAACCCTTAAATTATTACATTTGTATCGATTTATCCTCTGAATTATTTTCTTGAACTATTAACATTAGTTTACTTTATCGCAAATTGGTAACAAGTTTAATATTTTTTACGAAATATCACACTTGTCAACACACGTGATTAATTGAGAATACTGTGTCATTTTGAGAAGACAAGTAATAAAACAAATATCTAAATACCACAAAGGACAACCAATTGTTTTAGAAATATTCAATAAAATACAATTAACAACAATCGTAGCAAACTATTGCATTTGAATACAACCAAATTAAGCAAAACTTGTACAAAAAAATTATGTGCTTATAGATGTGATATTTTGTCAAAAATATTAACTTTGTTTATAGTGTAAGATAAAATGAACTAATATCAATAGTTTAAAGGGTATGTCATTACTTCTTTTTTTGGGGGGGGTCAAATGTCCTTGTATTGTATTTTTATTTCTATGAATGGTTTATATTTATGATTTTGTGAAACTATAGGTTTCAAAAAATACTAAATTCAACATTTTTTGGGAAAGAAAAAAAAAAGGCAGAGATAGGCACAAACAATTTTGATTTTCAGAATATGATTTTAGAAAATTTTCTACAAAATTAAAAATTAATTTGGTAAAAAAAAAATTAATTTTTTTTATATGGTTTTATATTTTAGAAGGGAAAAAAAAATTTAAATTTAAAAAATATCTTTTTAATACTTATATTCATAAACTAATTTTTATATTTTTTAAAATTGGAAATAGTTTTAGAAAATTAAATCAAATATAACTTTTTTATCTCTGTATTTTTTTTTTATTTTTTTTTTCTGTAAGTTATGGTTTTTGTAATGGCTTTACGGTGATTATGAGAACAATTTGGGGTGTTTTCTAGGTTAAAAGAACAAATTTTGGACAGAAATGGAGGCCCGAGTGGTAGCGGAGCCTTGGGTCCGAAGTTAAGTTAGTGGTGAAAGTGACATCCTGTCAAATTTCACTTTATATTCTTTTATTGGACTGGAATCCAATGCCCCATGCGTTGCTCATCCCCACATTGCCTCGATTTCAACCTCAAAGGTTTGGATTAGCGAGCTTCATTTGGGTTTTAGAAATGTGTTTTTTTGAGATCTCAGATTTAGCCTAAGTTTGGCTACAAAGAAAAAAGTGCACTTATTTTATCTTTTTATTTTTTTTGAGTCACATCAATCAATATCTCCTCTCTACTTTTTTTACACATAATACAAAAAAAGTTAAAAAAGTACACTTATTTAGTCTTTCCAAACTATGCCTTAATATTTATTAATTTCAATAAATTCTCTGGACCAATTCATATAGGATGCTTTTCTCCCTTTAAATGAGACCCTTTAAGTAAGCAGTGAGATCAGTCCTTTCAAATTAGTTGAGGTGCGCATAAACTAACCCAAATAACTAATTATCACTATATATATATATATATATATATTGCCTTCATAAAACTTGCATTTGCATCTTTCTTTCTTACAATTCATATGGGTTATGTTGTAAACATAACATAGTTATGTGGCAACCCAAAAAATAAAAAAATAAGTTCCTTATGTTTGGATTGAATGATTTGGAGAGAAAAAAAAAATAAAGAGATATGTATTTCTCTTACTTGTTTGGATAACTTAAGTGGAGAGAAATGGGGAGAAATGAAAAGAAGCGGAGAGAAATTCATTTCTCTCATAACCCTCATTTTCGATCTTCCCAAAAGTGGAGAGATTGAGAGAAAAAAGAAACTAATATTTTTATAATACCAATTTTGTACCTGTAAAAATAAAAGAAATAAAATGATTGAAAATATAAAAAGGTTATTTTGGTAATATAATATAAAATATTTTTTTTTCTTTTCTCTTATGAAATCTAACCAAATAAGAAGTAGAGAAATCATAATCATTTCTTTTCTTTTATTTCTTACTTATCCAAACAAGAATGAGAGAAAATCACAAACTTTTCTTTTCTTTTCTTTTCTTTTCTTTTATAACTTAAATAATCAATTTTTTTTTCTTTCCTAAATTTCCAAACATAGTGTTAAACATCGTCACATCAAAAGTAAAAACTCACAATCTGTTGGCTTTTTTAGCTTTCGAAGGTTACTTTCGTAATTATGAGCGTGCCAGCAAAGATCAATCAGTCCTTACAGAATTGTAATTGCCAAACAATTATTCAAATGATTGTGTTATAGTTCTTTCGGCCTCAATAAAGAGGACTTTTACTGGTGGCTTACTGGTAATTTAACTTCAGAAAATTTGAACACAAGAACAGTTAACTAAACTGGAGTATTTCATTAGTATGAAAAACTTACAATGATCTCAGTTCCGTAGAGAATTACAGCGGCAATATACTCGACAACTACTCCTACAAATGAAGTGCAGTGCAGAAACTTAAAATACAAGAATATAAAGGACAGGAAATAACACTGGAATATGTAAAGTGATTCTTTAGATTTTTCTTCGTGCCTTCTCTGAGGTCCTTCCTGCTATTTATACTTTCCGAAGATAACCATCAAATCGTACTTCAAACTGTCGAACTGCTCCTCCCTAATTGCTGATCATGCTACCTTATAAGTAGCTCCACTACGCCTTCACTTGCAGTTAGGCTTCCCCCTTATATTCGAATTTGAATGTGAACAACCGTTGAAGCCACGTCACTGTACGTCTCTTTGTTGATCCGCTACTACTCAGATCTTATCACAACCAATATTAATTGCCACGTGTATGATCAGGATCGAAGACCTACCTGGTCTCCCCATATTACCCTCACTTTGTCACGTGTCGAATTGTCACTGGCTTAGTACAAAATGTATAGCCAACATTACCCCCCGCACTAATATACCCAAGACTTGGTGATATTAGTGGATCAGAGTCCCTTTTCCCACATCTTAGAACGTGCATGGGTTTTGCATCTTCCCAGAAATGCAACTGTCTCACACTATCTGTATTAATACTCTCGTCTTGATCCTTTAAGTACTTTCACTGTCTTATTATTCGAACAGACTGATACATTTTATGGCCAAATTAACTCTTTCCTCCAATGATGAAGCATACGAAGAGTCATATGTCAATGGCATTCCTCGTCGAAAGCATGCATTTATTAGCCACATTTACCCACCTTTCTATATTCAGGTCATGGACGCCTTTGCAAATTACCGACCTTTGGATTACGAACACATTGCTCTTAATCCTTCGATTCAGAAGGCTACAAACAAAGACATAAGAATTTTCCCTTCTGACCCACCTTTACAGTTCGAACAATCTGCTCTCAAACCTCTGATTCATAAAATTATAAACATGGATTTGAGCAACTCTTCTTCGCAAATTTCTATATGGGATAAAGCTGTAACTTCTTCCTCTTCTGGAGGTTCTGACTGGACAAGCTGGTCAGTACCTGAGACTTCTGATTTAAAGGAGCGAATCAACCACCATTTTGTTGAGTTCACTGACCCTTTAGAGTTTCCCTCCTATGCTCGAAGTTCAGTTGTTTATCCTTACGTGCCTATTGACCATCGGCGTAGTCTGGAGGAGAATCTTCTTCATTCTGGTATTTCATTGCTAACGGGTCCCTTCGAATGATTTTCCTCAGCTGGCTTTCCAACCAGAAATGTTTGCTCAGCCATGAAGGCTTCGAACATTTCTTCTTCCACCATTTCTTTCTTCTGGCTTATGCCACTATCTTCTTCCGTTTCGCTGCCACTCTCCATCAGAGCTTTCTCCATCCCTGCTAGACTTTCCTTCTCTCTGGCCTTTAGTTCAGAATGAACCTTGGCCAACTGTTCTCTGCTGCGGTCCACCTCGTTTTGTATAACTAGTTTTGAATTATGGTCTGACTTTCGATTCTTCTTTTCTCCTATCTGGATCATCGAAGAACTCTCTCCACTTTCTTTTAGGTCTCTCTAGTATTGGGTGTACCTACGCTGAATTTTTCTCCTTTGTGATCTGGAAATAACGGGGACCATATCTGGTTCCTTCGTTCTTGGGTGTTTCAGCAATATCCAGTTATTGGGGGCCACCAAAGGAGGCTTAACCATCCTACTTTGATTTCCAAAATTCCTTTGGGAAGGCATTTCCCTAGGTTTGTTTTGCATCACAAACCAATCTGGGACTCCAGGTACCCATGAACTTACTGACCCAGACGTTGAACCGCCTCTTTCTTCTTTCGTGGTCACCTTCGAGGCTGGCTGTGAAGACAATTGTTTGGCCCTGTCTCCAAGCTTTAAGCCTGATTCAGGTTCTCGGTGATGGTGATCATTTTCTGTCCTTCGTGAAGCTGGCCCAAGGGGCCAATTCCTGGCTTTGATACTAAAACCTAAACTCTTCTCCAGCCTTCTTTCAGAATGACTACTCTCCAACCTGTAATAGTTAGGTGATCTGGACTCATAGAAGGGCCTCTTGCCTTTAGCATATATTCTGTTAACTGCAGGTTCAACCACTAATGGTTGCTGCCTAACATTAGCCGGATACGGCCTTTTGTTATAAGCATTGGTTGGTTTGGGACGCC